GAAGGTTTCATCGAACTTTTGATTTTTTAAACACTCGAAATGGCAGCTCATCACCGTTTCTCGTCACCCAGGCATGTTGCGATGCTTACGGAACCTTGTGTCAGAAATATCTGACGGAGCAGAGTGACCTTTCGCAATCGGAATCAGCCTTTACATTGGCTCGAAGATTATACGAAGTGAGGCTCCAGGGTATTGGTGCAGCGCTCATGGCTGAAGAGCAGAAATGTAAAACTTTGGCATCTGAAATCGAGGAAATACAAGGAGGAGCATGGGATGACAGGTTGAAAGATCCGAGCCAACTGAGGCAAATCTTGGGTAAGAAAAACCAAAGCCGAATAGCTATGATCAAAATTAATTCAACTTTGAATCATGGTTCAGATGAGATGGGACAGGTGAAGATAGATGACGACGAAGAAGACTTTTCCGCACAATGTATTGAGACAAATAACGGGGTCATGAGTATGTATCTGGCCGCATCCACCTCAAAGAAGTGCAAACTAATCATCATAGATTCTATGTCTTTGACGCGCCGGCCCTTTTTTCGTATATAGAACCACCTCAATCTCGTTCTACGACACCATTGGACGATGAGGAATCGGGTGACATACGACCTGAAGCAATTGTAGCCAGTCCATTACTTTCTGAGCTGTCTAGAAGGTCTACCAGGAAATCCTCACCTCCGAAAGCTTTCTTACAAGTTCCTGTAACTCGGAAACGAAAAACAAGATCAGAATCCCTTTCTTCTAGCAAAACAGATTCAACAACAGCTTCGAAAAAGAAACGCACAGAACCAGCCTCACCCAGTGTTGAATCACCTCAAGAAGAAATTACAAATGTTCAACAGAGCCCAGTACGAATGTTGACGAGAACCAAAAAGAAGGCCAATACACAATTGTCAAGTAAAAAACCAACATCATCAAGCAAACGGCGCGAACGAAGACCATCTTCGGCATTACCAAGTCCCGACGTGGATGATGAGATCGTCTTACAGCAACTTATTTCAGAGCGACAATCGCCAACGCCATCTGCAAGCACTCCCCGCTCACGATCACATTTAGGCTCTGGTAAACCTAGTCAAAGAAAACACGGGAAGAAATCAAAGGGGATAGAACGCTCAACCGAACTTGATCCTAAAGATCGTGAGCCATTGTCCTTGTTCAGACCTTTTGAGCTCAGCCTTATTGAAAGTAATCGAAATGCCAATCTCTCCAGCCCCGGAGGTGAAAAAAGCCACCAGTGACCTGCGAAGTCCGGATATTGACCCACGTGCGTCACGCCCTAAGCAACCTGTGATCTAGTGTGCGTCTCAAGTTGTCACTCGCTGACATTCGTCTTGTAGATCTGATACCTGATCTAACGAAAGAAACCGTGTCCAAAGACGCCAAACTGAAGAGAAACAAGCAAGCAAGTCAAACTCCTCGAGCCGTGGCAACAAATAGCTTAGGTTTAGAAAACACGGATGTAGAGCGAAATCAGGAGGATGAAAGGGGAGAAACCACTAAGTCAGGAAGTCATTCACCCGTTTCCGTAAGGAAGGGCCAACTCGAAATAGAGCATCAACTGGATGACAGCAAGGCCGGGACACCTAACTCAGTCTGTGAGTGCTCTTCCCTGACTCATCATGATCCGTAACTATTCTATCGCATCTCTGAGCTTGGTTCGCCTCATGGTAAATTTCCTCAGCATTTCCGACGGGTATCACAGATGGATCTTCTACAGCCCAACAAACTCCGATTTCTTCAACCATTCCAATTCCACAAATTGACTCAAGTCATTCAAAAGCTATGACTACTTCCGCCAGTTCTTCGACCATATCTGACCCTACCTCATTTCGACGTCGAATGTTGAAGACACATGCATCTGTACAATCTAATCCAGTTTCGGCAGTTTTCCGAGAACCGGTAAAAGACTCCGAAGCACCTGGTTATTCTCATATCATCAAAAGACCAATGGATTTACGTGCATTAGCTAAAAAGTTGCGCGATGGGAATGTGACAACTGCAGAAGAGTATCGTAGAGATTTGATGCTTATGCTGGCGAATGCTGTGATGTTTAATCATGAAGGTAGTGAAGTGACTAGACATGCCAAAGAGTTATTGATTGAATGTGATAGGTTAGACTGATTTTTTTCACCAAGACTGTTGTTACAACTTGAAACTGAGCTACTTTTCAACATTCTCACCAACAGACTCGTTTCAATTTTTACGAGAGGAGCGAGGTATTGATTGGTAGGCAAGTTGTAATCTTTATCATGGATTACTCAAGCCGCTTTTGGAGGATTATTTGATCCAGTGTAGGATTATAATTCCGTGATATGATGAACATTTTACATTTTCATGATTTTTCAAGAAACAAATTTGATCAGAAAAATCTTTTTACAAAGCATATTCTCTCACAGAAAGAAATGAGATGGAATCCAAACAAAAGCTAAAAAACGATATACAGGAGGAATCGAAAAAATTAGGATTTAGAATGATTAGGATCATTTAAGATAGACAAGATATCATTTATAAGTTGAAATTGATCAGAAGAATCCCAAGAGTTTTGTAAAAATAGGCTTTCTTGTTGATCATCATCAAGAAGTAAAAGATCTTGAAGAATCAATTTAGAACGACGTTGTTTGAATTGATTTTGATTTTGATTTTGATTTTGATGAGGTAGTTCAAGTTCAGTAGTCGAAATGGTTTCTAAAGTATCCACCGATTCATCATCACTATCTAAATTATGATCATTTTGTAAAACTTGTAATCTTTTTCTTAAGATATTTGAAATTGAATTTTGTTTGTTTTGGAATGAATTCATCGATTCTATTGAATTGAATGAATCAATCGATTTGATTGATTTTAGTATTTCAGATTGATCTGTAAATGAATCATTTGAATCTGATCTTGATAGGCTTATATTTGGGATTGGGATGAATTCAGAAGGTGGATAAGTGTCTCGAAAGAAAGTAGCCAAGTGTTCATGATTCTCAAGTAATGATAAATCAGTTTTAAAAAGTTCTTTTTGAATCAAGTTTCCATGAAAATCAGTCTCCTCTTCATTCATCATCAAATTCAATTTTCCTTCAAGTTGATCAAAGAGATAAGTTTCTTCTGATTTGATTTCTTGAGTTAATTCTTCACTGATTTCAATTAATTCATTGAATTCTTCTTGTGCATCTATTTCTATCATTTGCTTCAAATTTGATTCTTTCTAAAAAACAAACAAAAACCATAACTCAATTCTAGATCAAGTATTTTATTTTATTAGAGATCTATAAAGGAATGAAGTTAACTTACTTTTTTTACAAATGATTCATATTTTTCCAAAAAAGTTGAAAGTGATCTATTTGGCCAATTGAAACTTGATTGATTTCGGACCATCTTTGAAAATTTGATAAACCTTTTGGTTGAGAAAAAAAAAAGGAAATTCTTAGATGGATTGCTTTTTGAAAAAAAAACTGAGAAAGTTGATTAAGTGTTGAGTTCTTGAATTCCTTATATATATACAGTGGAATAAGATAAATTTTTATAAGAGAACAAGTAAGGTAATATATATATTTATAAGAAGATGAAAAGCTTTTAAGAAACTCCCTCAGGAACTTTCATTCAAATGTTCTTGTATTAGAAAAAGTGAGTCTAAACTTTTATTCATTCCTGGTCGATTTTTTAAATGCCATTGAAACAAAAAAGTTCAAAAGCTTGATGATGTGTTGTTTGAAGATTTAAATATCTAAATTGATCAGTTTTGAAGATAAACCGTCTGATCTTTTCTCTTTTAGCTTCACTTTCAAGAATCATCTCAATCCATCTTTCAACTGATCTTTGATTTATTTGATCATCCGCTTGAAATCTTTACCACTCCTTTTTAGATCAAGTCATCCTTTGAATTGATCACATTGTAAATTCAATTGATAAAGCCTGACTTCAATCCTTGGTGCACATTCTTATCAAAACTCAAACACTTCATTGTGCCTACGAGATTTGGAGAACAAGCGCTCAAGAGGACAGTGTCAATTCTCAAACATCGCGATCAAACATCAAGGGCCAAGTCAATGTGCAACTCAATGTATGTTCTCGATTCGCAGCCTCCTAGACCACACCGGCCTTCCTGCCTGGCTTCTATGTTACTGTAGGTCAATCACACCATTTAAATCCTTAAGAACTCATACTTGAAGAGATGTCGCTTGAATCCGTAAGGCCAATATAAGGAAGTTATGGACTTGAACGTTTTATGGACTTGAACGTTTATCAGAAGCATTCAGCTCTTCAGGTAATGCTAAGCAGGCCAAACGCCAAGCCCCTCTCAGAATGATGTAGTGAATCACAAAACAATGACATCTGATTCCTTACTTGAGACACGTGTGAAAGACACAGTAGAAAAGATAAGATGAATAACAAAAATCATTTCAAGATATGATGTTGAAGAGTTTGAAGATGAAAAAAGGGACCCATAGTTAGACGAGGAAGGTGAATTGATGAGTCAAGAAACAAACAAGAAAAACATTGTTCATATTGCGAACATCACATGATCACATCACACAAATAAGCCTAAGTAGAGAGGCATAAAGCGTAAAAGACTACTGAGCGAACTTCAAGTTTCGGTGTTTGAGAATTATTAAAAGTCGAGCAAGAGAGAGTGACCCACATATTCCGATTGTTTTAGAAGATGAAGTGGATCAAACGCTGGTGGATCAATGATTCAATTTCCAATGACGAAAGGTTCCAAAATTTGACTGATCATTTTGGCTGTACCATTTTCTTTTGTTTTGAAACAAATAAAATAAACTGATGATTGGGATCACATAAACTGTCGAGCTAATTTAACCAAGGATGAACATTTGGACAAATTCATCAAGGTTTGTGGTCCGCTTAGAGTTTGAAATTATGATTTTCATTTTACCCATAGCTCGTATTCAAGAGGTGCTGCCATCACACATCATGATCAAGATTCCTGAGTGAGGAAGAAGAGAAGCCTAGTATTACTGGCAAGTGCTGTTGAGAACGACCAAAAAAGCATTCTCCCAACGGGACTCGAACCCGTGACATTAACGTCTCTTGCGAGATTGTGCTATCAGGCATATTCACTTCCGAAGAATGTGAGAATATAAGCATTACGCTCTACCAACTAAGCTATGGGAGAAGATGATAAATGTATCCAATCCGGAAGTTTTATACGTAAAAGTATCCCTTTAAAAGAATTTTTTCTCATTATTTTGAAAATATCGTAGGTAAAGATCGATTTCACTACTAGATTGTTCAATTCATCTTCCTTTTCAAATCAAAGATCCAAAAACTGATCAAAGTAATAAATCACCATTAAATATCAAGTCTTGATGGTGAGCTTTGGATTGATTTTCTGGTTGTCTTTCCCATTAAGAATCAACGATTGAAGAAAGATTGAGAAGTGAATGTGATTGAGAAATGACTGAAATAGATTGATATTGATCATTGATAGGTTTAGATAGAAGTGGTATACTCGCAAGAAATTGAGTTGCATTACTGTGAAGAAAAAAAACAATTTCAATTTCGATATATACAATCTTGATTCGATTTAAAAACACGGATTAAACTAACCAAGCAGAGATTTTGAGAATTACTTTGGTTTGATTAGAGTTAGATTGATCAGTTGTCCAGATTAGAGATAATTCATTTGATGATAATGGACCGAAACAATCATTTTGTAATTTTTTGATGATTGGTAATAGGCTGAGTGAATCTGGTGTAAAAGATGAAGAACTAGGAAGAGAGAGAGAAAAAACATTGAAAAAATGAGTCTTTTTTTGAATCAGTTGAATATCAAGAGTTTTCTTATCTGATGGTGATGATGAGTGATTTGAACGTACCATTGGATTTGAAGTAGAATATAATGATATGGAAAGCTTGAGACTGATAGTTGATACATTGAGTGAGTGTCAAAGTTGAAAGTGGGAGATGGAAAAAGGGCGAGATGAAGTTTGGTATGAAAAAGTCCGATATTGGTACCCTAAGAGCATCCCCAGCCGTGCCGTAAATTTTGACGTACGGAGGGTCGCACGGATCGCTTTAGGGCAGTGTTTGAGGATTTAAAAAAACCCGGTCCACAGCCGTAATTCCCTACAGTACGGTTAGTAGCATCATTTTCTTCATATGCTATGAGTGAGTGAGAAAAACTGCAGTTCTCGAAACAAACAACTGTTTCAAGTAGCCAGTCAATTCTCAATTTTCAATCCACCTATATTCAATCCACCTTCATCGTTTCTCACTATATTCAAATCCATCTTCATCGTTCTCAATGCTTGACCAACCTGATCTTGACGAAGACGGACTATTGGATATCTTCCTGGATGACGACGAGGATGAGGATGCAGCCGTCCAAGAGGCAATGCTACGAAACCGGGGTGTTGTTCGACGTAGCCAAACTATTCAAGGTGGAAACAAACGCTCCGCTTCTCAAGGTCCACAATTGAGAATCTTTCGAGATCGAGCCAAAGGACACACCAAACTTCACGATCACTATTTTTCTGAAGCTCCCCAATACCCACTCACTCAATTCCGACGTCGATTTCGTATGAGTCGCCCTCTATTCTTTTGCATATGTGATACATTGGAACATTCAAACCGATACTTTGAGCAGAAGCGCGACGCTGTGGGTACTTTGGGATTCTCTTCACGCCACAAGTGCACAGCAGCGATACGCCAACTCGCATACGGAACCTCTCCTGATATGTTCGACGAGTACTTGCAAATGGGTGAATCTACGGCACTCAAATCCCTCAAGACGTTCTGTCACTCAATTGTAGAAATTTTTTCACCCGAGTATCTTCGAAAACCCACGGAAGCGGACCTCAAGAAACTTCTTGCTGAAGCCGAACAACGAGGCATGCCAGGTATGTTAGGTAGTTTGAACTGTATGCATTGGGAATGGAAGAATTGCCCAACAGCATGGCATGGGCAATATTGTGGGAAGGAAAAGGCTCCGACGTTGGTTCTTGAGGCAGTCGCGTCTCAGGACTTGTGGATTTGGCATGCGTACTTTGGTTTACCGGGAACTCTCAATGATCTCAGCGTACTCGCTCGATCACCACTCTTTTTAGATCATCTCAATGGACAACAGCCGGAGGTTACTTTCACAGTCAACGGAAAAGAATACACAACTGGATACTACTTGTCGGATGGAATCTACCCCGAATTCACCACACTCATCCAAACCATATCCTGTCCTGACACTCCAATGAAGCGGGTAAGTTTTCCGCTTGTTTCTTTCTTTCTTTACACATTTAAGCGAGTATTAATTTTTTTGTTCACTCTTTATCAATAGCTTTTTGCAAAACTCCAAGAATCGATACGGAAGGATATTGAAAGAGCATTTGGTGTCTTACAAGCAAGATGGCATATCTTGTCTAATGGCGGGCGGCTGTGGTCAGACTCTGATCTGGAGGCCATTGTCAAATGCTGCATCATACTACATAATATGATTATCGAAGACAATCGAGGAGACAAGGAACCAGACCCTTACTTAGCTCAAGAACACCAGTTTATAATTCGTCCGGCTGAAAGCAACACGGCTTGGACACAAAATCGAGCAGGATATCTAGCAAAATATAGAGAGATGCGAGACAAGAGGGCTCATCATCAACTGAAAGCCGACCTGGTGCAACACCTGTGGAATTCGAAAGGAACTGGCGAGGTGGCACTCCAAACAGACAATTCGTAGTTCAATCGATTTGATCAGAGATGGTCTTTGAGATCAATCCGATATTCTTTTTTAGAGTGAACTGAACTCAAATATGATTGATTTTGTTTTCTTCATTCATTCAATTTTTTTTTCAGATTGATTTTGTTTTCTTCATTCATTCAATTTTTTTTTCAGATTGATTTTGTTTTCTTCTTTCATTCAAATTTTTTTTTCAGATGTTTTCTTTTCAATCAACGGTTTCAAGAAATTCTTCACACTCATGTGTAGTTCATTCAACTTGTGATTTAATCAAATAAAATTTCCTAAAGTTGAACCCAACTTCAAAGAAGCTGAGCATCCCAGACTGATTTGATTCAGAAATAGAGAGTTTCTTAACTTAAATGATCTTAATGAGAGCTGATTGTAATGAGAGCAAATCAGATGGATTCTATATATATATTCAAGAACAAGTTTTCCATTTGGGATGAAGCTTCCTAAGTATTGCCAGCTCATTCAATCATCTCTTAAAATTGAATTAAAACCAAACGAGTTCAGAGATGTTAAATATACTCATTTTGATCTCATTTCTTATCAACAACTTTTCACTGAACCTAGCTTTCCAGCTTCTGTTTTGGAAAACTTAGATAAGTTTATGGGTCTCGAGGTGACAATTTGTTTAAAGAGAGTATCATAATGTTTAAAAAAACCAAATCTTTTTATTTTCATGACATTCAGATAACACAAGCAGCTTTAAGCTTTACAAGATGTTGGGGAATCAAAAACCTCACTCTTCGTCCCAATTACTCTTCGTCCCAATTGGCATTGGTTTGGCTGCTGAAAAACAGGGCACATCAGCCTTGAGTTTGACAATAGAAAGATACAAATAAAACTCACTTGGATTGTAATTCAGCATCGGTTTGTAAATCGGGATCGGTATGTAAATCAGGATCGGTTTGACTGCTTTTTGATTGGGCAGGTTAACATAGATAATGTTAACAAACTTGTGTATGCTGTTTGGGAAAATTTTGAAAGATGACTCACTCGGACTTTGATCCACCATGGTTGTGACTTGATCTTTTAGACGTTTTATATCTTGTCATAATTTCTTGTTGTTTCATCAGATACCATTCTCGACGAGGCCCAGTCATCTTATCTGGATCTTCCACCATGATTCGAGATTCAGAGAAATCCCGCATGGCAATGCCTTTCTGAGCAACTGCATCTGCGAGCTTTTCTGAAGATCTGATCACTGCCTTGTCAATATCGTCCTGGGATCTTGACGCTGCTGCTTCTTTTTTAGCTGTTTTGGTCCCTGAAGGTCGTTTAGGAACCTGTGAGGTGTTCGAAACTGATGTGGACATGATGCTGGTGTTTCTCAAAGAGGTGGGACTAGATGGGAGGGGTACAAGCGGATTATTGGATTGATTGCTGTCTTGGAACTTCTTGGTGTCTCGCAGAATTGTCCAACAGTGCTCTAGGGTGAATTTGTCTCCAGTTTCGGCGAAAAACGTATCCTTTGCATCCATTATCTACACATGCACCGCAATTAAGATCATTTGAAGTGAGATAAGGTTTGAATGGCATATTTAAATTTATTTGAAGTGAGATAAGGTTTGAATGGGAAATTTAAATGAGAAAATTGAACTTACTGCATCACCTACAACTTTTCCACTACGTAAATTGCGTACTGCCACTGAATAGTGATTGACAAACTTGGTGACTTGTGATGATATGTGGCTCCATCTCTTTTGAAGTGTACCAGATTCACGTTCAGAATCCGTGGGTAGAGGAATCTTATTAGCCGTGTAATGCTCGTGGATGCGTTCCCATAGTCGAGTAGATTTCTGACCACGTCCAATGATGCGATCTGTAGATATGCTGATGTATGAATGGCAAAGCTGCTCATCCTCTGAATGAGTAAAATTCTTGCCTCTTGTCTTCTTCAAACTCTTCTCGTCAGATTGACCTTTGCGCTTTTTGGATTGGACTACTTCATTTTCTGTCTCAGAAGGTGTGTTGTGAGTTTGGTTCGATGTGAATGGAAACACAGACGTGAGAGAAGGATCAAGTGTTGGATCCATGATGAGAAAAGGTGATTTGAAAAGAAGTGGTCGAATAAAAAGACGCGGTTGATTGGAAAATTGGAAAAGACGTGTTTGAGCAGAAGACGCGGTGACAATGAAACTGTAGTTGTAGGAATTGTAGGAAATCTGGCTGTTTGTCTTCGAAATCATGGGAGTAGCAAGGTACGGAAGGATTTGGGGTGCGAGCCAAAATAGAACATCTTTGGCCTATTTCGGCTCGCACGTAGAGATTTGCGTAACCTAAGTATGTATTTGGGGGTACCGGCTGTGGATAAAAATACCCCAAATATCCGTACGTCACGGTTTACGGCACACGGCTGGGGATGCTCTAAGTTCGAATTAAGGAAATCCAACACATCATCCATTCAAACCATTAATTCATCATGACTATCTCCAAGGAAC